GTAGTAGTAGTAGTAGCAGTAGTGATAGTAGTAGTAGTAGTAGTAGTAGTAGTAGTAGTAGTGGTAGTAGTAGTAGTAGTATTAGTAGTAGTCGTAGTCGTACTAGTAGTGGTAGTAGTAGCAGTAGTAGTAGTAGCGGTAGTAATAGTAGTAGTAGTCGTAGTAGTAGTAGTAGCAGTAAGAGTGGTGGTAGTAGTAGTAGTAGTAGTAGTAGTAGTAGTAGTAGTGGTAGTAGAAGTAATAGTAGTAGTCGTAGTAGTAGTAGTAGTATAAGTAGTAGTCGTAGTTGTAGTCGTAGTAGTAGTAGTAGTAGTAGTAGTAATAATAGTAGTAGTAGTAGTACACAGTAGTGGTGGTGGTAGTAGTCGTAGTAAGTAGTAGTCGTAGTAGCAGTAGTAGTAGTAGTAGTAGTAATAATATAGTAGCAGTAGTAGTAGTAGTAGTAGTAGTAGTAAGTAGTAGTAGTAGTAGTAGTAGTAGTGGTAGTAGTCGTTATAGTAGTAGTAAAAGTAGTAGTAGTAGTAGTAGTAGTAGTAGTAGTAGTAGTAGTAGTAATAGTAGTGGGAGTAGTAGTGGTTGTACTAGTAGTAGTAGCGTAGTAGTAGTAGTAGTAGTAGTAGTAGTAGTAGTAGTAGTAGTAGTGGTATGGGTAGCCCTAATAGTAGTAGTAGTAGTAGTAGTAGTAGTAGTAGTAGTAGTAGTAGTAGTAGTAGTAGTAGTAGTAGTAGTAGTAGTAGTAGTAGTAGTAGTAGTAGTAGTAGTAGTAGTAGTAGTAGTAGTAGTAGTAGTAGTAGTAGTAGTAGTAGTAGTAGTAGTAGTAGTAGTAGTAGTAGTAGTAGTAGAAGTAGCAACAGTAGTAGTGGTTGTAGTAGTAATAGTAATAGTATTGGTAATAGTAGTAGTAGTAGTAGTAGTAGTGGTAGTAGTAGTAGTAGTAGTAGTAGTAGTGGTAGTAATGGTAGTAGTAGTAGTAGTAATGGTCATGATAATAATAATAATAATAGTAATAATATTAATAAAAATAATAATAATAATAGTAGCCCCCTTGCGGGGTCCTGGGGAAACCCCAAGAAGCCTCGTGAAACACAATGGGGCACCATGAAAACCCCCATACACGCGGAGTCCATATTGCCGCTGAGGGGTCGTGCGGGGCCCTCATGATGGCCCCTAGGATCCCTGAGGAGCCCTGACTGGCGTTTTTCGAACAATCCTGAGGAAGCTGCACGAACCCACAGGGGCCCACAATGAATGCTAAGGCATTCGATTGACGCCCGAGGAATCGAATGGAACCAAGAAGGATCCCGAGGGCACCAAAGGAATCCAGGGATCAGGGATTGTCAGGGATCCTGAGAGATTCTGAGGATCCTGAAGGATTATGATGGATTCTGATGAAGATCCTGACGGATTCTGACAGATTCTGAAGAGCCTGACGAATTCTGAAGGATTCTGACAAATTCTGACGGATTCTCAAAGATTCGGAGGATCCTGTGGGATTGTGAGGGATTCTGAGGAACCTGAGCCCTGACCACCTGGGACCTGAGCTTCGGCCCTGAGCCCAAGGCCCCGTGTCCTCAGCCCTCAGCCCTGGGCTCTACGCTCCGAACCCTGAGCCCTGAACCCTCCGCCCGGGAGGGCCCCGGGGGGCCCCCTGCGGGGGCCGAAGGCCCTCGCAGGGGGCATTATTTTTTTCAATTAAAATACAAACAAACGTCCGGCGTCTTGAATGCTGGACCCGGCCCGTTTTTTACCGAGTCCGTCGCCGTGTGTTGACCCGTTCCGGCTCCGGCTCCAATCCTGCAGCCGTTTTTTGCTGTTTTCGGTCGCCGTTTTTTTTGCCGTTTCCATTTCCAAGACAATTTGTTGGGGAAGCTGCAAAAAAACGGCCCCGCCGCTACCGAGGCCCAGAAAGCCTCTTCCCCCTCTGCTCACTACCTCACACGCCTCCCCCAGACTAGTGTTGGACTATCTCTACGTCGCCCTCCTGTAGGGGGACAGGCCAGATTCAAGGGTAGCGGTATTGGCACCTGTTCCCTTAGTGGGCCCTGGAAACCACAGGGCCGTTTTTGTTACTGGTTCCGTTTTGCCGTTTCTTTGACGGTTCCGACGCGGTTGTTCTACCGGTTCCGTCGCCGTTTTTTGACCGGTTCCGGCTCCGGTTCCAATCCTGGACTCGTTTTTTTGCCGTTTCCTGTCGCCGTTTTTTGCCGCTTCCAATTTCAAGGGGCATTTTTTCGGGAAAAGGCAAAAAACTGCCCTGCCGTTACCGGGGCCCACAAAGCCTCTCCCCCCTCTGCCCGCTACCTCACACGCCTCCCCCAGACTAGTGGACTATTTTTACGTAGCCCTCCTGTAAAGGGACAGGCCAGACTCAAGTGTAGCGGCATGGGTACCCGTTCCCCCTCTGCACTTCACTCACACGACTCCCCTGCGATCCGCCGCCGGTCGCGGCCAGCCCTGGCAAGCCCGCGGGCCGGCCGCGGGGCGGCGAGCGCGCGCGGCCTCAGCCCTCGCCCGCGTCGCCGGCGCCGGCGGCGGCGCTCCGACGCTTCCTCGGGCGCGGGCTCGGGGCTTGCTATCGCGCGAGCAGGCGAGCCCAGAATCGGATCGATGAGGCGGGTCGACGAACGAAGCGCTTTCAAAACGGCTTTGAAAGAACCTGCCCCCCAAAAAATACAAGAGATCGGCGGATGTGGCGTAAATTCATGGCATCCACGTCCGGAAGTGACGTGTTGCCGGGGGCAGGTCGCGCAGCGGAGCGGAAGCCCTAATGCAATGGATCCCATGTGTCCAATGCTTTCATAATTGTCACGTATTGTATTGTGTTACATTATTATGTCTCCCCCTAACTCCCCCTCCGGAGTCGCGCCACTTCCGTCGACCCAAAGGTGGAGGGCCCCTTGTGGGCCTAAGAGCAAACAAAAACCAATTGAAAATCAATGATTTCGCCTCCTTGGGCCTCCTGGGGGTCCAAGAGGGTGTGGAGACGGCCCAAGATGGCCCCAAGACAATCCAAGCCGGCCTCAAGACGGCCCAAGATGGCCCCAAGAGGGCCCATAAGGCCCCCAACAAGATCCAAGAGGCCCCCAAGAAGACCCCCGAGAGCGCCTCCGGAGGCCAAAATCTTTGATTGTCCTACAGTTTTGGGACAATTTCAACGTTCTCGCCTTTTTCGGCTCTCGGAAAGCCATGACGGCCCAAGCAGCCTCCAAGAAGGCACCCAAACAGCCCAAGAGGCCTCCAAGGGGGCCCCAAGACGGCCCAAGAGGGCCCGGAGACGGCCAAAAAACGCTTCCAAAACGGCCTAAGAAACCCACATGACGGCCCCAGAGGACCCCAAGAGAGCCCCAAGGCGGCCGCGAGAGGCTTCCAAAATGGCCTCCGAAGTGGCCAGACGGCGTGAGAGCGCCGCCCCCAGAGGCCCCAAAGAGGGCCCCAAACGGCCCAGGAGGGCCCCAATACGGCTCAAAGAGGCCCCCAAGGCGGTCCAAAAAACCTTGAGACGACCCAAGACAACCCCAAGGCGGCCGCGAGAGGCCCCCAAGACGGCCTCCGAAGGGCCGGAACGGCGCAAAAACGCCCCAAGACGGCCCAAGATGCCCCCAAGAGGCCCGGAGAGGCCCCCAAGAGGCCCCCAAGGAACTCCCCCAAAAAACCTAGAGGCCTCCAAGAAATCCCCAAGAAGCCTCCAAGAGGCCTCAAAGAAGCCCCCACAAGGCCACACAACGACTGGAGCGTAATGTTATTTCCCCCCCTGGGCGAACGACGGCGCAGCGCCAGCCAGGTGGAAGTTGTTCACGGCGGCGCGCATGATTAGAGCCGGCGCTGGAAGGGAAGATGGGCCAAGAGGCCCAAAGAAGCTCCCAAGAGGCCCCCAGGAGGCCCCCAGGAGGCTCCCAAGAGGCCCCGCGACGACGTGACTGTACGTGCTCCGGACGTGCCCCCACGAAGCGAGAGGAATCTGTCAAGACAGCAATGGGGTAAGGGCAAATCAGCTGAGCCGTTTTCCACGGCGCCTGGGCCCGAGAATGGTCCCCGGAGACGTAGAAAGGCAACAGAGCCGTCTTGAACCCAGAGCCTCGAGCCTCGACCCCTTTCTGTGCTTGCTCCAGCGCTGGAATGCATGAGCTTTGAAACACCTCAGACCCCCAGCCGGATCCACGCCCCTGACACCCCCCCCCTCTCCCCGCAGGGGCGGAGACGAGGCACGTGCGTGGACGAGGGGGGATGATGAGCCTGTTTTCCACCACCACCACCAGAAGTTTGAGGGGGGGAGGAGGAGGAGGAGGAGGAGGAGGAGGAGGAGGAGGAGGAGGAGGAGGAGGAGGAGGAGGAGGAGGAGGCGGAGGCGGAGGAGGAGGAGGACCCCCCCCTCTCCCCGCAGGGGCGGCGCGCTCCTGAACCACGCCTCCTCCTGCAGGCGCCTCAGCTCCGCCATCTGGTCCGACGGGCTCCCCGGAGAGCCCGAGGACCTGCAGGCCTCCGCGCTCCCGGGCTCGGCGCCGCTGGGCGCCGCCGCGGGCTGCCCCTCGGAGTCCACCTGTGGCGGGGGTGGCGCGAGGAGGGGCGGTCGGTCGGTCGGACTCGGCATTGCAGCAGTCTGCGCGCCGTTCTGCTGATGGGCTCACACCCCGTGAGCCAGGGGCAGCGTAACTCTTATTCCGCACGCCATCCCCTCAAAACGAGGAGGGGCACCCAGCCCTGAGCCTGAGCTTGCCATGGGGCACCAGGCCCGCCCGGCACAGACCAGGAGCAGGGGCGGCGGCGGAAAAGGAGGAGGGGCGGGAGGAGGGGGGGAGGGGAGGGGAGGAGCTCGGACTCTGATACTACTCTGCGCGGGGGTCCTGTTCTAGGCAGACTGAGCTCAAATCGGGCAGCTTGGTGCCTCACCTCCTGCCTCGCACCGAAGTGGCACGGCCCTCGCGACGCGTCGCCGCCCTCTGCGTACAATGCGCGGGGAGGCTGTGCTGAACGAGAACCACTGCAGAGCTGTGAGTGCAGGACGCCTCACGACACAGCTAGCTGATGATGTGGAGTGACACAAAGGCACCCAGAGGGTGCTGAAGGGTTCCACCACGAGACCCCGAAGACCCCACTCCACCGCAGAGAAACCCCAAACGTTCTGCTGTTCCCGTCGTGCTTAAGAACCACAATCCAGAAATAATTTTGAGCAACCAGCAAAGTATCGAAACGGTGTGGAACGAGTATCGCCCCCCAGGACCCGACACGTGAAAACCTTCCAGTTTCGATAGTTTCTCGGTGCTCGAAAGTATTCTGGTGATGGAGGCTAAAGTAGGTTGGAACATCATAACCCAAACGACGACAATACGATGGCGGCGGCGAGCCGGCGAGCCGGCGACGGCGGAAGCGGCGACGACGGCAGCGGCGACGACGGCGGCGGCGGTAGCCACGGCGGCGGCAGCGCACGGATGCTGACGATGGGGGCGACGGCATCGGCAACGGCGTCGGCGGCGGCGGCGGAGGGTGCGACGGCGACGTCGGCAGCGACGGCGGCGGCGACCGTGGGGCCGCGCGGGGCGGGGGTCTCGGGCGCCCATGGCGGGGACGCCAAGCCAGCGGCCGCGCCGGCGGCCGCGGGGTGGAGGTGGCTGCGCTGGATGTGGCGCACCTGGGCCGCCCTTCGCTCCTGCTCCACCCTCTTCGCTCTTCCTGCCCTCTCCACCTTCTCCTCCTCCTCTTCCTCCTCCTCCTCTCCTTTTGACGCTCCTCCTCCTCCTCCTCCTCCTCCTCCTCCTCCTCCGCCGCCTCCGCCTCCTCTACCTCTTTCTCCACCTCCCCGAACTCCTCCACCTGGTTCCTGGTTCCTGGCAGCTGCAAAGTCGTACGGACGAAGCCTCTGGTCGGCCCTGGGGGGGTGATCAAACTGAGGCCAAGTGACCCCTGGAGCACCGCTCCAAGGGCCACTGGCGGTGTGGCAGACGTAGAATCCTCCCCACCCGACACGCGCCACGGTAACACCCCGACACAAACGCCCTGCGCTAGCTACAGCACGAACGGGCAGACTGAAGAGGGGGACAGTGCTACAACCCGCCGACACCCCGCTTGCCAGGGGCAAGACAGCGCGTGAGATGCTTTGGGGAGGTGGGCCGTGACCGGGGGTGGCAGCGAGCACCTCACAGCGGGGCACCTGCACTGCACGCCATCGCACCGCTGTCACAGCGCGAAGGATGCCGCTCACACAACCAGCAGTGGTCCACTCTCTTTCGCTGAGGGCCTTCAGCCCCCCGCTGGGGAGAGCACCGAGCCTGAGCGGCCTGCCGTGCCCCGCCCCTCGTGTCGATCCAAGACGGCGCGGATCAGTGAGAGCACGTGCGAAGAGGCGACGACCGACGGCGTCGCACCGGAAAATCGGGGGCAACGTCCTGGGTATTGGAGACCGTCTTCCTCACTCCCCACTGGCACAACCCGCGGCTCGTGGCCCCTGGAGCCGAGATTGGCCTCGAGAGCTGCTTGCCACCTGCCCAAGCGTTCGCCCGACCCGCCACCACTACGGCCACCCGCTGATCCCGCCGCGTGGCAGAAAAAGGCAAAGCAAAACCGTATCTCCTGATCTTCCTCCTCCTACTCGTCCTCTTCCTCCTCCTATGTTTGTTATGCCCAACGTATTCTCGGCCATTGAATTTCTTCTCCTCCTGCCTCGTCCTCCTCCTCCTCCTCCTCCTCAACCATATCTCTTCCTGTCCCTTCTCGTCTCTTTCTCCTCTTCCCCCCTCATTGTTCATCCTCTCCCCATGCTCTGAGAGGGGACCGTTGGAAGAGACTGCCTCAGGGGAGGGGGGATCATCTGGACCCTTCCCCATCTCCCTATTCCACCCTCCCGCCTTCTTCTTCTCCTCCTCCTCCTCCTCCTCCTCCTCCTCATCTTCTTCTGAGATCCGACGGTGCGACGAAGCTTGCAGCATCGCGGAAAATCACAACCGGAGCCCTAGACTTCATCCTTCTGTGCCATTTCTAGAGTCGGATCGAACTGTGATGCTCCCGAGGCCCGAAATCGGGTGAAATCGCTCGTTGTGAAAAAATGCAACGCCCTAGTCCGCCGACCCTGTCGGCGTGTGTGAGGGGCTTCTCCGTTCGACTCGTCGTCTCCGTCGTCTCCGTTCTCCCCCTCCCAGGGCTCTCCTCCTCAAGCGCGCTATCCCAAGCGAAATTAAACGACGTCGTAGTGGAGTCGAAGGGAAGCCCCTGCCCTTTGATCCCTTCCCCGCAAGGGGGAAGTGGGGGGGGGGGCGGGGCAGATACGACGCCCGCCGGGGCGCACTTTCATGGAGCGGGCACGCACGGGATGCACTTCCTCCTCCTCCTCCTGGTCCTCCTCCTCCTCCTTTTCCTCCTCCTCCTCCTCCTCCTCCTGCTCCTCTCCTCCTTCTCCTCCTCCTCCTCCTCCTCCTCCTCCTCCTCCTCCCGCAGAGGCGTCCCGGGAGCGGGCCCCGAATCAAAATACCACCCCCCTAGGGCGCATTTTCCTCGAGCGGGCACGCCCGAGATGCACTTCTTCCTCTTCCGGGAGCACGTCCCAAGTCAGAATATCACACTCCCGGGGCGCACTTTCTTCGAGCGGGCACACAAAGGATGCACTTCCTCCTCCTCCTCCTCCTCCTCCTCCTCCTCTCCTCCTCCTCCTCCTCCTCCTCCTCCTCCTCCTCCTGCTCCTCCTCCTCCTCCTCCTCCTCATCCTCCGCTTCCTCCCCCCACTCCTAGCCCTTTCGATCAGGGTCGGCGGCACCGGCCGTCAGGCCTCTCCAATCTCAGGGGTACCCCCCGAAATCTCAAAATGAGTCGAACTGTGATCCCTGGGGAAGGAAACTCAGCGAAGACGCCATCTGTGGCAAAATCGCAGCGCCTGGATCTCAGGAACCTCTTCTCGGAAGCGACCAAGGCAGGGGCGTCCAAGAGAGTGGTTCGCAAAACATGTCCCGAAGCATGTGCGCGGACGAGGGGACCAGGAGACGTAATGGAACAAGCAGAGGGAGGCGCGAAATCTGGTGAGATCTCATGTCCCCTGCCATCATATCCGCCCCGGCGTAATCATCACCCCCTCTTGGCCGCTTGGTGGGCCAGAGTAGATGGTGTCGGTGGATGGCGCCGCATCGCCGATGCATCAGCGATGCGGCTTGATGTGGAGGCTGACTTTCACAACGCCGACGTCGCCGACGCAAACGGCGGGGTCGCCGCTGGTCGACACGACGCGGACGTACCGCACTCTGGCCTCTTTGAGGAAGCCTCTACAGTTGGGACGCCGCTGAAATAAGGAACGATAACTGGGGAACGAAGCCTTTTTTAGGCCACACAGCCACATTCGCTCACGAGGGTGGCCAAAGGAACAGCCATGGCAGGACCTGAGGAACATCGAGCCTCTTCCGAGCCAAAACTGTTCCTTACCTCAGCGTGTTGACTGCATGAGTCCTCGGGTAGAGGCCTTCCAAATGGGGTCTGAGAAGATAGGGTCGGAGGATCGCGCCGCATCGCAGACGCATCAACGATACATCGGCGATGCATCGCCGATGCGTCGATGACGTTGGCGACGCGTCCGCGACGTCAGCGCGGAGAACATCCGACTCGACATCGAACCGCATCGGCGATGCATCGGCGGTGTGGCGCAGCCCTCCGACACAAGCCGCTCGACTCCCATGTATCGGGTCGGGCGAAAGGGGGGGATAGCAAAGGGGGGGTTTGAGAATCAGCTCACGTAGCTGATTTTCCCGGCGCCTCCCGGCGCCGGGAGGCGGCCATGTATCGAGGACTGGGCCCCTCGGTGGGGCCGAAACCAGCTGCATGCAGCAAATTTCGTAACCCCCCCTTTCCCAATCCCCCCCTTTCGCCCGGCCCGAATGCAGGATGTCGCGAACACGCGGGGGGGGGCGGGAGGACGGAGCCTCGCTGGGGCACGGCGGCGGGAAGGGGGAAGGCGCGCCCGACGCGCCGCCCGCGCGCCGGGCGAGGACCCAAGGAACGTCGAGCCCCTTCCGAACCTTTTTTTTTTTCTTGTTTTTCTTTTTTTTCTTCTCTGATGAAGTATTGAATCCGCATCCCCTCAAGGGGGCTTTGACGGCACCCATCGTCGAGGCCAGAGTGACGCTGTGTGTGTGCACCCCAACGAGGCCCAGCCGACCATTAAATAGACAGCACACAACGACAAGCTAACCTGTTCCTTGCTTCGGCGCCTCGGGGCCCCGCAAACGGGGGGCTCGCTAATCGCGTGCCATGGCTCTTGCATGAACAGGAAGGAGGAGGAGGAGGAGGAGGAGGAGGAGGAGGAGGACGAGGAGGAGGAGGAGGACGAGGAGGAGGAGGAGGCAGGAGGAGGAGGAGGAGGAGGAGGAGGAGGAGAAGGAGGAGGAGGAGGAGGAGGAGGAGGAGGAGGAGTGCCCCCGTTTGCTGTACCCCCGTCTGCGGCGCCTGGGGGCCCCCGAGACGGGGGCATAGCACAACGTGGACACATCGGCGCTCCCCGTGCCCCCGTTTGCCGTGCCCCCGTCCCTGGCGCCCTGAGCGTCTTGTTCGGTGGCAACTCATGGGAGCCTCCCATACCATCTTGTCGGCTCTTGCGAATCGACGCTAATCGACTCTAGTCGACGCTAATCGACGCTAAATCGACGCTAACCGACGCTAACTGACGCTAAATCGGCGCTCTCTCATCGACCCCCAGACGCTAATCGACGCTAACCGACGCTAAAGACGGAATTGAAAGGGTACACCAGGCTCCCATGACTTGCTACCGAAGTCTTGGGCGTGGCTTAATGGGGGGGTCACAAATGGGGGGGGGCAGAAAAGGCCCCCTTTCGTGCCCCTTTCGGGCCCCTCCCGAGCCCGAAGGGGGTCGTTTAGGTACCGTTTGGGAACCTTTTCGGACCACCCGCGACGCCTCCCCATTTATGACCCCCCCAATTACGCGGCGCCCAAGTAAAACGACGCGAGGATCGGGACAAAATCGGATCTGGATAACTCGAAATCTCTGAGAATCGGCGGGTTTGGAGGATGTATTGTGCGCCGCGGCCGCTCCAGAGCGCGCCCCAGAGGGGCTCGTTTGGGTACCGTTTGGGTACCTTTTCGGACCACCCGCGACACCTCCCCATTTATGACCCCCCCATTACGCGGCGCCCAAGTAAAACGACGCGAGGATCGGGACAAAATCGGATCGGGATAACTCGAAATCTCTGAGAATCGGCGGGTTTGGAGGATGATGCATGGGGCGCCGCGGCCGCTCCAGAGCGCTCCGGAACGCTGGGCGTGGCTTAATGGGGGGGTCACAAATGGGGGGGTCAAGAAAAGGCCCCCTTTCGTGCCCCTTTCGGGCCCCTCCGGAGCCCCAGGGGGCTCGTTCGGGCACCGTTTGGGAACCTTTTCGGACCACCCGCGACACCTCCCCATTTATGACCCCCCCATTACGCGGCGCCAAAGTAAAACGACGCGAAGATCGGGACAAAATCGGATCGGGATAACTCGAAATCTCTGAGAATCGGCGGGTTTGGAGGATGTACTGGGCGCCGCGGCCGCTCCAGAGCGCTCCGGAACGCTCCGTGCCCCCGTCCCTGGCGCCCTGAGCGTCTTGGGCGTGGCTTAGTGGGGGGGTCACAAATGGGGGGGTCAAGAAAAGGCCCCCTTTCGTGCCCCTTTCGGGCCCCTCCGGAGCCCCAGAGGGGGCTCGTTCGGGCACCGTTTGGGAACCTTTTCGGACCACCCGCGACACCTCCCCATTTATGACCCCCCCATTACGCGGCGCCAAAGTAAAACGACGCGAGGATCGGGACAAAATCGGATCGGGATAACTCGAAATCTCTGAGAATCGGCGGGTTTGGAGGATGTATCGGGCGCCGCGGCCGCTCCAGAGCGCTCCGGAACGCTCTGAGAGCGCTCCGGAACGCTCTGGAGCGATTTATCCCGATCCTAGCCCTGTTTTACCCGGGGTCAGAAAAGGTCCCCTTCGTGCCCCTTTCGGGCCCCTCCGGAGACCCAAGGGGGCTCGTTTGGGTACCGTTGGGGTACCTTTTCGGACCACCCGCGACGCCTCCCCGTTTATGACCCCCCCAACTACGCGGCGCCAAACAGCGTCTTGACTGCGCGTCTCCCTGGGGGAGGCGGGAGGGCGGAGCCCGGACGGGGCGCGGCCCGACGGGAAGGGGCCCGGCACGCCGCCCGCGGGGCCGCAGACGAGGCCGAGGCCGCGGGCGCGCCGCGCTGCGGCCTTTTTCCGCTTCCGTCGGCGGGCCGCGCGCGGGCGCGCCTGCTCCATCCAGAAGTCCGTCTGCTCGCGGAGGAACTTGGCGCGGGGAGGGAGGGAGGGATCGGGCAGGGCGGCGAGGAAGGCGTGGAGGGAGATAGCGAGGGGGCGGAGGGAGGAGAGGGGGGAGGAAAGCGCGGCGCGGGGGGAGGAGGTGGAGGGAGGCGTGGCGTGGGGGAGGAAGGGAGGAGGTGAAGGAAGGCGTGGCGCGAGGGGAGGAGGCGGGAAGGAAGGGGGGGAGGCAGAGAGGCAGGGAGGAAAAGGAGAGGACGAGGAAGAGGAGGGGGAGGGCAAGGACAAACATGGAGGAGGAGGAGGAGGAGGAGGAGGAAAAGGAGGAGGAGGAGGAGGAGGAGGAGGAGGAACAGGGCGAGGAGGGCGTGACAGAGGGGGCGAGGGTGAGGAAGGAACGAGCGGTGGGAGGAGGAGGAGGAGGCGAAGGAGGAGGAGGAGGAGGAGGAGGAGGACATGAAAACGAGGGGGGGAATGAGGATGAGGGCAATGAGGCTCTATTCGGCCGCCTCCTCATGCGCACCGTTTTCCTCAATCCCGCTCCTTCCTCCTTTGCGCAATGCTCTCTTCCATCCTCCCCTCCATTTCATGATCCGTCCGCCTCCCCCTCCTTCCACTCTCCCCTCCCCCCCCCCCCCTCCTCCTCCTCCTCCTCCTCCCCCTCCTCCCCCTCCTCCTCCCCCTCAACCCTCCGCCCTACCTGGTCGTCCTCCTTTCTCCACGCTCCTCCTCTCCTGCCCCCTCCTTGTCTACGCCCCGCATTCGCCATCCCCCTCGTTTTTCCACGCACCCTTCCACGTCCGCGCTCCGAGGAATTTGCCCCCGGCGCCTTTGCATCATTCACGTCCCCCTTCGTCGCCTCCGGTTTCGTCCTCGTCCTCGTCCTGCTACTCCTTCTCCCCTCCTCCTCCTCCTCCTCCTCCCCGCGTTCCCTTTCTTTCCTCCTCCTCCTCTGCTCCCCTTGTCCTTTTCCTTTTCCTCCTCCCTCCTCCTCCTCCGGCGCGCACGCGCGCGCGGGGTCGCGCGCTGGCGCGAGGGGTGGGGGGGAAGTAGAATGAGGGGGGGAATGGGGGAGGAAGGAGGACGACGGAAAACGACGACGAGGTAGATGAGAACAGGGAGGGGCTGGAGATGACGGGATTGGAAAGGGAACTGCAATACTGTATGTTAAGTGAAAGATGTGACGGCGGAGCGCTTCTGTCAGCCAAGTCCACGACGGGCTCGCTAGATTGCAATTTGCACGTGGAAGCGG